CCTACATTCAGTTTTCTTAATGCTTTAAATCCATTCTTTCTTTTTCCAGAGTATTGTTTAGTAAGTTTCAACATTCGGATCTCAAGTTATGAAATAGTACGATTTTGAGGATTCCTTGTCAGCTTGCTCAACTCATCATTCAATAAGAGCTTATAATGCTATCGTTTACGATTGCTAAGTTTAGACAAAGATGCCTCAAAAGCACCAAGTGCTTTTATCATCCATCTTACCATGTAGGTTTTTTTTAACTAATTAGCATGCTCATGCTGCTAAGTTTATTTAGCACTTCGGTTAATTCGGTTCGAAATGAATTAAATAGTTAAATTAATTGAAAATATTTAATATTTAATATTATATATATATGTTAAGATCAATTTCATTAAATTTAAAACTCGACTATGTTTTAACCATACTAGGCACGTTAAATTTTCAGGAACCAAATAAAAAATATTCTATTAAACAACAACATGCTTTATATGTAGGGATGAGCATGGAGTCCGGTCAGGTAGGGTTTCGGCCAACTCGACCCGAAAATTTACGCCCTCCAATTGAAAACTGACGCGACTTCTTGATATAAAACTCGAACCCAATTCAAAATATATATTATTTTTATTCAATAAAAATAATGATCTAATTCAAAAATTAATATATAAAGGGTTATTATTGTAATTACCTCTAAATATATAATGTCAATTTAAATTATTTTTTGGGTCTGATCGGATCATGTATTTTTCACCTAAACCTAAATCTAACTCAATCCAAACATATCCTCTAAAAAAACTCGACCCAAACCTATTTTTTTAAATCAATATAATCTGATCGAGTCGGAGTCGTTCGAGTTCGGGTCCATGCCCATCCTAATTATATGCTTATAAGAGCAGGATGGAACTTCGAAAAGCTGCTGGCCCATCAAAAGTGGTTAGGCCTGCCCAAGAAACGAAATTCCCAATCCCAAATCCCGAAGCTGGTACTAGCAAATTTGGGGTTGAAAGCAGAAGAAAACGAAATCCGACGCTGTGTAGGAAATAGAGTAACCCATTGAAGAAGAAGAAGAAGAAGAAGAAAACAGTGAGTGGTTGATAGGATGGATGGAATCGGAGAGGAGGGGGAAGGAATAAGGCTGAGCAAACGGTTCTCCGATGACAAGCCCGGCACTTCAGGGGAAGTCGATTACAAGACAAAAGCCGGCACCGCTTGGAGCCATTCTTATCTCAACCAAAAGCCATGGCATCCCCTCTCCTATCCCAACCAACGCCGCAAGTGGATAGCCGAGCAGAGCCATTCCCAGCGCACCCGCCGTGCTGAAGAAGTTGCCCGCGAGGTCACTTTCTTTCTCTTCCTAATATTTAATTTCTCTTCTTCTTCAATTGACCTAATACTAAGTATTTCATTTTATTTTGTTGCAGTATGCCCAAGAGCAAGAGTTCTTCCGCCAGACTGCTCTAATTTCCAAAAAGGAGAAGGAAAAGGTTTTTCTTTCTTAATCTAAGCAGTTTCCGTTGGTTTTGTATCTTCATTCTTTTTTGGGACTAAACCACCCAAAATCCCTTACTAAATTCCTAGGTGGAGATGATGAAAGCTGTTAGCTTTATGTATGTTCGTCCGCCTGGTTATAATGCTGAAAGTGCCAAAGCGGCTGAGATCGCCGATGAGAGGAAAAATACCGAGCCAAATTCCAATGATCATTCCACAGCAATGTAATTTTGGTTTGAATATAGAACTGTTAATGTTCTTACTTGTTTTAATTTTAGCTGTTTTTCCTCTATGTGAAATAGTTTTCTCAATTTATTAACTTCATTTTGCAGGCCACCGGATTCTTTGCCTGGTGGATGCACTATGACAAAAGAGAAACAGAAATCGAGACCCAAAGATGTTTTTGGACGAGCTTTACCTACAGAGGAAGAGTTTGAAGTTCTTAAAAATGCCCCGCGGTATGTAGCAACGGTAGTTTATGCAATATTAATCATTGGTAGTTGAAAAAATAGATGACCTTGGCTATTAAACTATAGAAAGTTAGATATATTATGATAAAAACAGACGTTTGATCTGATTTTTATTGCTAAAATAAGCTATGTGATTGTCTATTTCCATGGTCATGTTTTGCTAATTAATTTAATTATAATACAGAGAAATGAAACTGACTTGCATAAGGGTGCTGAGGCTGCATTGTTTTAAGGAATGCTAAAACTAATCATCTTATAAAAAACGGCTAAAAGTATTGATCTCGTAGTTTAACAAGTGTGAATTGATATTTGATTTGATTTGGTTTGAATGATGATGGAACTTTCAGGCTGGAGACTGGTGTTCCTGGTAGGGTTAAACCATTTGCTGTTGAAGTCCGTAATGTGAAATGTCTTCGATGTGGAAATTGTGGGCACCAAAGTGGTGACCGTGACTGCCCGTTAAAGGATGTTATGATGCCAAATGAAGAGAGCCGTTTGAAAAGAGATGACCCCTTGACTGCTATCATGGCTCAAATGGATCCTACTGAGGTTGGTATTACTTCTATATTGGTTCGGTTGAAATTATTGAAGGTTATTTCAAAGCTTAATCTTCAAATCACTTTATTGTTCCAAATAAATAACATCTATTCATACATCTTCTGAAAATATGGGAGCTGTCTCCGTCACTCCTATCATTGTTTTGAAATGTTTTTTTTGTTGTCTCATGTTTCTTTGATATTCATTTGGTTCCCACCTTGATATGTATCCCATTTTTTGCAGCCTCTGAAGTGGGAGCTGAAGCAAAAACCAGGTTTGAGTCCTCCTCGTGGTGGATTTCGACTGGATGATCCCAATCAACAAATAGTTGCCGAGGATATATTTGATGAGTATGGAGGTGAATGGTTTTTCCTATTGCAGGCTCCTTGACAGGAAATTTGAGCTCATAACATCCAAGTAACTTCATGTTAACTGTTATCCCCATTTTTGTTTTAAAACCAGGTTTGAGTCCTCCTCGTGGTGGATTTCGACTGGATGATCCCAATCACAAATAGTTGCCGAGGATATATTTGATGAGTATGGAGGTGAATGGTTTTTCCTATTGCAGGCTCCTTGACAGGAAATTTGAGCTCATAACATCCAAGTAACTTCATGTTAACTGTTATCCCCATTTTTGTTTTTCTTATTTACAGGATTCCTTTGTGGGGGCAATATTCCTGATTTGCTGACTAACATCTCTTGCAAACCCAAGAAAAGGAAGTCCTCAAAAAAGAATAAACAGAAGAGGAAGTCATCTCGAAGCTGTTGGGACTCCGAGGATCCTAATCAAGATGGCTTATCCTCAACTTCTGGTGACGATGAGAGAAATTCGAAGGAGGAGAAGAAAACCAAGAAGAAAAAGCGGAATCATTCTGGGTCAAGTTCTTCTGATAGTGCAGAGTTTGATAGGCATCAAACACGAAGAATACACAAGTATCCATATTCATTGGAGGACAGAGACTATGACAAGCAATACAGGACTAAAGAAAGCAGAGAAAAATGAAAAGATACTCATAAGCCTTATACAGTGGATGATATGGATGCTGGTGGACACAGGAAGAGTAAAAAGAGCAGACAAAGGTGTTCTAATTCATCTGATGAAGAGAATTATGGGAATGATAGGAAAAGTAAAAGCAAGCATTCCTATTCATATGAAGATTCAGACCGTGATAGGCATGAGCGTAGGGAGAAGACCATGCAAAAGCATTATAACTCAGAATCAGAAGGTCCAGACACTATTAGCCGGAATAGGAGTGAAAAGCACAGACATAAGCATCATTATTCATCTGAAGATGATGCTCATAGACATCGTAAAGGTAAAAAGAGTCGAAATAAGCATTCATCATCACGCAGATACGATGATTCTAGCTCAGATGCAGAGCGTAGAAGTAAACATCGCCATCGTAAATGAAACAGCCATAAGCTCCCAAATTTTGCCATAAGAATGAGAATCTGGATGTAAACCTATACCAGACTGGTGACAATGGAGAGGGGTGGGGGAGATTATACTGTTGTTGCTATCACCCAGAATCATGAGAAATGAAATATCCTTGCCAAAACATGACTTCAATCGCTTGTCGGCCTTGAACTTGGTGAAGTTAAATGGATCTTGACCTTCTCGTTTGATGTTTATGCGTCTGCTATTGATGTTAAATACTGATGAATCATGAAGTTTCTCTCATTGTAAAACACATTATTACAGGCCTGGAAACATTCTTCAGCAGTCTTTCATTGATATTATTGTGAGGAGCAAGGACATTTTATAAAATTACATTCTGTAATTTTGTATCAACAGCTCATGGGGTTGTACAAGATAAATGGAACAAAATATTTGTTGCAGAATTATTTGTTTTAGTTTTAGATTTGGATTTTAATATAGATTTGCAAATAGAAATGTCCTTTTTTAATAGGTTGTTTGATTTTTTTAGTTACAAAATTTTAATATTTGATATACGGAATATATATATTAAGATTATTAATTATTTTCATCAAAGAATATATCTTTTTATACGTATAAAAACAGAAGTGGGAACTTTTTGAAATCATTAGCATGCAAATTGATGGTTTCATGTTAACATTTGGAAATATTTTATGAATTTTTATTATTTAGTTCATATTTAGTTAATATGATATTAGATATTTTAATTTTTGAAACGATTTGGAACTTGTCACGTGTGAATGACGAGTTTTAATAAAAAATATTTTTTATTAAAATTTATCATTCTGATGTGATAAAATCTAATAAAATATTTTATTTTATTTTATTATAATTTTTCAATTCGACGTGATGAGCTTAAACAAAAAAAAAAATTATTTAAATAAACTCATCATATGAACGTGGTAAGTTTACCTTGCACTATAACAATTATCGTATATCTTAAATTAATTTTAAAAATAATCTAATTGGTTAACTTTTTTACCAGCATAATTTATTGGGCCAATTTTACCGAAGATTGTAACCCAAACTAAAAAGCCCTCGAAATGACGATGAGTTTACTCTATTTCCTATTTTACCTCTAAAAATTCAAAATAGTTCCTCTAGGGTTTTAGGAGGAGCTGAGCTTTTGGTTTTCTTGCAGCAACGAGAAAAGAAGAGAGGAAGAGACCGGTGAAGATGAATACTTCAAAACTGTTTCGAAGGTCCATTGGATTGCTAGAAGCGGCGAAGGTTTCCTCTGCTTCATTCGCTTCATCTTCCGGTGGAAATGGGAAGGGGCTTATGCGGTCACAACCCGTGTCTCCACAGCTGGGCAAGTTCCTTGGATCCTCCGAAGCTTCTCGCGCAGAAGCCACTAAAAAGATCTGGGATTACATAAAGCTCCACAATCTCCAGGTCCTTCCTTCCCCCCTTTCATTTCCCTCCCTATTGTTAGTGCCGCGCTTTGCTTAACCTTCGCTTGTGTTACTGGTGGAAGAATCGGAGTATTATGTTAATCGTGTTTGTTTCTTTGGAAGTTCAATCCATATGATTTCTTTAAGACATACATGTATGGTCGTAAGATCTTATGTAGGGATGCAGATAACCTATATCTGAAATTTAGTTGGTGTATAATCACAAAATTCCAGAGGTTGCGAAATTAGGCATCGATATTAAATATTCAGGAATTTGAAATTTCTAAAGGTGCGATTACATCTCCATCACCCCTTGGAAAACACGCATGATGCAACTTGTTTTTTTGGATGTTAAGAGGAAGACAAATTTACACCATTCCTTGAATTATGTTCTCACTCCTGTTTTATTTATCTTAATTTCATTTTTACTAATTTGTTCAGTTATGATATTTTTATTATTATTTAATATAAAATAATTAAAAATATAAAATAAAAATATAAAGTGGTAAGATGCTACCGCCGTCTACCATCGACTGACGTAGATGATGATCGTTCGGTCTTAAATTTTATGGGGTTCGGTTCATCTCAATCCCTCGAGTCTAATCTGGTGAGTGTTTAATCGGACATTTTCGACTTCCTCACTTTCAATCCCCTATGAAATTTGGGAAAGAACGATCACCATCTACGGTGGCTGGCGATGGTGTCCGATCACTCTCTGTTTTTATTTTATATTTTAAATTGTTTTATATTAAATAATAATAAAAATAATAAAATAATTCGAAATGTTCAAAACAAGAACAATTTAAAAATTTAGTGATTAAATTAGAAAAATTAAAATTACGGTGAGTAAAAATAAGATGAGTAAAATAAGATAGAGAATGTAGTTCATCGAGGAATGTGTACCTTATCTGGACAAATTTTATGGGTGTTTTATTGGAGCATTATAAAATGAGCAGTTGTGGCAATTAGTTGTACAACTTTACAGTAACATTATAAATCAGAAAGGTCCTTAGATGTTTGTTTGAGTCCATCAGAATTCACATGTTTGATGTTTTCTTCATTAATTCCACTGATGCTTTTTGTCCCATTAGTATTTAAGGAAGGTTGGATAGTCCTACGAATATTATCTGTCCCTTATCCTATAAATTTATGTAATTTTTATGTTGTTGAGCATGACTTGTGTGTGATGGTGTTTAGAATCCTACAAACAAGAAGGAGATTATTTGTGATGACAAGTTGAAGACGATATTCGAGGGCAAGGACAAAGTTGGAATGTTAGAGGTGGCCAAATTTCTGTCCCCACATTTTGTGAAATCTAAATAATGTTCTGGCTTAGCCTTGTAGGAACTTTATGACCCAAATTGCAATCTGATGAACATGAAAAATGCTTTTGCCTTTGATCTTTTCGGTTAAATGTGATTCATGATGATTGGTTTTTGTTAGATGATTGAGTTGCTTGTGGATCGCCTTTGTCAGGCTGAACCTTTTGATGTTAGTCTCTTCGACTGTGTAACATAAGATTGTGATTGGAACTATTTTTGGTAATTAAGGTTCTGATCAGTCTGTCTATCCTTTGTTTTTCATGTGTTAATTCCCACCATTTTGGGTTTTGTTAGCCGATTCACCGATTCAAGTGTTATCAAGATGACACGAATAAAACGACCTCAGTTGTAAATGAATTGTTGTTATTCTTTGAATTCCTGAGTTCGAGCATCAAAAAATATTAGGAGTGTGAACGTTTTGTGCCAAATTATTGATAGTTATCTTTAAACAGATACTATTTTATATTTACCTCAGATAAATAAAAGGCTTAATATCAAAATAAGTGTCTAAATTATATTATTTTTTCTAAATAGGTTCCTAAACTATTTTTTAACTCATCAAAGTGTTTAATGTTACAAATGTTACCTATTTAAGTGTCCGAGCTGTCAATGGCATTAATTTCTCTTGTTAAGTGACATATGTTAAAATATGGTGATTTTAAAATTTATTTTTTAAAAAAATATTATTATATTTATAAAAAAAATCTTATTTTTTCTTAAATTATAAAATAGTTCCCAAATCTCTAAATTTTTCAAATTTTAATCTTAACATGTCGTCGTCATCCTTTCTGGCCACGATCATTACCGTCGATGTAGTCTCTATCATTTTCCCAGTCATACGTAGTCGAAGTTGTTTATTGGTCATCGAAATCACGTAAGATTGCGATTTTTAGCCTAGTGTTCGTGAGGTATAAAACCTCGATTCACTATCAATTGGTCACGATTTATTAGGGGTTTTGGTTGTCGGGGGAAGGGGTCAATTGAGTTTCATCGACAGCAAAGGATGGCAGTCGGTGTAGGTTTAGATGTTGAAATGAAAGTTGTTAAAGTTTTGAGTTTATTTCAAAATTTATGTTTTCTTTTTTTAAAAAATATATAATTTTTAATTTTCTAATTTTAAATAAAAAAATTTAATTTATCAGATTGTGACACATGTCACTTAACGGGAAAATTAACACCATTGATGGTTAAAACACCTAAATGAATAACGTTTATAACGTTAAACATCTAATTAAGTCAAAAAATAGTTTAACCACCTATTTAAAAAATCAACAAACAACAACACTTATATTTTTATTTTAATCCTTGTATGTGACATTATGAGATAGAAAGAGTACTATACACATTTGTGTCCTAATTTTAATTTGGCGGCTCAAGATTTTTGGACAATGGGATAATGATGGGCAAGGCTTTAGATAATTATAACGTAATATTTTTAATCAATTAATAACGTAGATATATCATATAGATATAATTGCTTTATCTTATTAGAAATAATAATATTTTCTTTAATCAAACGATGTTACTTAATGGATTCGAGAAACCATACATTGTTGTACGGACAATAAGTCAAGTATTGCCTACTGCTCGAGACATTTAGCAATATCTCTCTTTTAAGTGATGATAAAAGAGGTTATATTTTTCTATAGCTTTACTGTTCTTGTATTGTATGTTGTAGCATGGCATCAAATCGACTTAGTCCGAGTGGATGATGATAATGGTATGGGGTATGGTTAATATCATTTCTATTATTTCTAGGGTGAATTATATATTTAGTATCTAATCTATCATTTCTAATCTATTTTAGTACCTAAATTTTTAATTTTTTTAAAAAAAAGTTATACATAATATTTAGTTTTTATTTCATTTTAGTATCTCATCGTTTAAAAACTTAACGCGTTTGGCACCTAAACTATCACTCTTGGTCCGTTTTAGTACCTAAACTTTCATTTGTTTCAAAACTCAATGTTAAAGTTTTAACGGGTACTAAAATAAAACAAAAATTAAACGTTGGGTATGATTTTGAAAAAATTAAAAGCCTAAGTAATAAAAAATACAAAAACTAATAGTTTAGGTACTAAACTCGTAATTCATCCTTATTTTTAAGGATTCGTTGCATCTGTTCATGTTTTATAATTGTAATCATTTGAATATTAATGCAAAATAATAATGTTAACTAATGAGGTTGATTCAAGTGGTAAGCAGTTTGATATCGGTTGAGTAAGGTATCGAGTTCGAGTCTTTATGTATATAGAAAGTGCTTGATAGGAGATTCACCATCAAAACCATATGTGTAACGTGAGTCGGTTCAGATTAATTAAAACAAAACCTTGAAATATGTAGGGGGAAATAATAATGTTGGAGGTTAAGGGAAATTGTGAATATAAAAACATAAACTTGCAGGGGATGTTTACGTTCAATTTTGTTCAACAAGCCGCTTTCCAAAACTCAACAATTATTTTTTTATATTCTTATATTTTAGAAGAAAAAATCTTGAAAATTGTTCAATATACTTCATTCTTTGAAGTTTTTTTATTATTTTTTTGATTTTTAAATTATATTTTTATCTGTATTAGTTTTATTATTTTTTTTAATTTAAAAAAAATAAATCACTATTGGATTCGTACTATTGAAGAACAATAACAATGTAATCGGCAATCATTATTTACAAGAGTAAGTGGCAGTTGAGGTGGCAATCGGATCTTTTTAGATCGAGTTTAGATCCGATTGGTTTAGGTTTGAATTATATATGATTAAATTTAGTTCGGCTCTATAGTAAGTTGGGTCGAGTTAATGTTAGATTGATTGATTTTTATTCAAGTTAATATGAGATCGATCGATTTTTGGTTTGAGTAACATAAGATCGATCAGTTTTTAGGTCGGACCAATATTAGAGTAGTTAACTCTCAGATCAGGTCAATATCATATCAATTAATCTTCAATTCATAACAATCTATAAATTTTCGGGTCAATTCGGTGGAGTTGAGTATAAATCTAATTGAGTTAAAAAAGATAGGATACACGTGAGTGGTGACTAACTAGTAGTACAATAATATTGAACCGTTAAACTATTATCAAATGCATTGATTGATTATCGATATAATACAAAATGAGAATAAAATATACATCATTTTATTATTTATTACATTACTAAAAATAGATAACAAAAAAATAAATTAATCATTTACTTTGACTCAATTATCATCTTAAAAGTGGGTCGATGTTCTGTTAGATAAGATAGCATTTAAGCTATCTTGAAGAATAGAAGAATGAACAAATGACAGCTAGAACTCTCTGCAATTCTATTAACGGAAACTGACCTCTCTTGAACTAGAGAGTAGCTATTTGTACATGAAGAATGCATAACAAACTTAACAGCTTGTAACTATACTATAACAGAAACCCTCATCCATGCAACACGCTTGCATGTGATCGTAACACTAACACTGTTTAGATCATATATGAATAAATTAAATTTGGTTACTTCATGCTCGTAGAGCTCAATTGATATGTGATGTTCTTTTTAGTATCACTGCCTATTGGTGCAGGTAGTTTATCCTTTCCCAATCTGTTATTAAAGAATTGACCAGTTGTGTTCTAGATCTTTTTAGAAAGGGGATGATTATGCTGCCTCTGGAGCTCGGGTAAGCTGGGACTGGTCTGCACTCTTCGCTCTGAGGGAGGACTCGGGGCTTAGGGACACTACGAGTTGGACTGATTCAAAAAATTATGGCTATGAAGGTTCTTTATGGGTGGCTTGACTAAAGGCTTACGTCTTTAAAGGAGTGGATTTTTGGCATCTCCAGGGGAAGCGGAATGCGAGTTGGATTATCAAGAAGTTGCTTGCCCTAAAAATGGAACCTCGCTCTCTTTTCGAATCTGCTCTGAGTTTTGATTCTATTACTGTTAGTTGGATTTGATCGAAGGTTAGAGAGGCGGGGGCTAGGGTGCCTTGGCACAAGGTAGTGTGGTTCCCTTTTCACATCCCTAAATATACAGTTATTGGTTGAATGGCGATCTTGGACAGACTCCCCACTAAGGACAGGCTGTTGTGTATGGGGATTGGGGTGGATGCGAAGTGTGTGTTCTGTGATGCTGCGGAGACCAGAGGTCATCTTTTCTTTGGGTGCCCTTTCTCGAGAGGTGTTTGGGAAGCTATTTTGGCAAAGTGTAACCTTGCCCGTCGTGCGATGAGTTTGGATGTTGAGCTAAACTGGATCGTGGCTTGTCTTGAGGGTAAATCTGTACTTGTTTTTATCCTTATGCCGGCTAGGAGTGCTTTAGTTTACTAGGGATGAAAGAAATAGAAGACTTTTTAGGGGTGTTTGTCGGGATGCTACTGAGATTTTGTTTGCTGATTTCTTTGTTTTTTGTAGCAGTTTTTACTGCTTTCTTGGATAATAAAACACACTTATCCAAAAAAATGGTTACTTCATTTTGAGTTATTTTCGGTCTGAATTGTTTTTCATTCGAGTTTCTTTTAGTTCAGGTCAAGTTGAATATGAGTCTACATCGGTCCAGTTAAAATCCATATCTATTTTGATTCAAATCGATTTATTTTAGATTTCGAATCAAATCTAGGTCATTGCATTCTAATTTATATCTAATTTCTAATTTAATAAATCGGTTCGAATAATTAAATCCACACAAAATTTACTAGGCATAGTGGCCAGGCAATTAGGAAGAGTTAAAAAAAGATAAATATAAAAATTTTTGTTAGTTGCAACAGGTTTCGACTTCCATACATAAACAATATTTATCTCTTCCCTTTATTGCATTGAAATGGAATAGTTCCATTACTTAGGGATTAAGGTTTTTATAGTAATTTAAGATAAATATAAAATAATATTTATTCTGAAAAAATTCTTAAGTATTTAATATTAAATATTTACATTATATCTTTTATGTTTGAATTTAAGATTTCAAAAAATTATAATAAATTTTTTATTATCGAGATCGTTTTGGTTCGTCTTGCTATTAAAGTCGAATCTCAAAAACGGAGGTGTCCTGATCAGCAGCCGTGTTCATTACGCGTTAAAGCCTTAAAGCAACGCGTGGAATCTCCCTTGTGATTATTATAAATCCTTCCCTCACGATTTTATTACGAAGCTATCTTCTTCTGACCCCTCGCTGACTAGATCTTCTCTGTAATTGTAAGAACAAATCTCTCTCTCTCTCTAACCTTAATTTACTCTTTTTTTTTTGGTTTCTTCAGAATTTTGTTATTGTTTGTACTGGTCTACATGATCGCCTAAACAGAAAGGGTTGACTGTTTTCTTACCATCTCTACCTTTGGGGAATTTTAGGTTTTTGTTCTATTACTCCTAATTGGCATGTTTAGTTGTCTAATTAATGATTGTAATTGCTACCCATTATGTGTTATGGCATTTGTTAAACGATGAACACCTCTTTTTGTTGTGAATTCCATGCTTTATTGTTAATCCTATTCGAAGTTTGTGACTTGTTTTGTTGATGAACGATGTGATCCAGGATTTTATGTGTTGTGTATCACTCATGTTTGTCTATCTTGATATTCCACAGGTTGAGGAAGAAAAAAAGACATGGGAAAGGACAAGGACAAGCATGGTCATGAAGACAAGGGTCTCCTTTCAAACCTTGCACACGGTCTTGCTCATGGTCGTGGAGGAGGGTATCCCCCTCAGGGCTATCCACCTGCTGGAGGGTATCCCCCTCAAGGCTATCCACCTGCTGCTGGAGGATACCCCCCTCAGGGCTATCCACCCGCTGGTTATCCCGGCGCACCTCATGGACACGGTGCATCCCATTCAGGTAAAGTGCCAAGATTGTCTTTATGCTTGTTGCCATGTTATGTTTGTGTACAACGTGTGAGATGCCAATTTGTAATTGCGTCTACAGGGCACGGTGCCTTAGGAGGGTTGCTCGCCGGCGGTGCTGCAGCTGCAGCGGCCGCAATGGGGACTCATCACGTGGCTCACGGTTCTCATGGTGCTTACGGTGGTCACGGTGCTTATGGTGGTGGTCATGGTGCTTATGGTGGTGGTCATGGTGGTTATGGTGGTGGGAAATTCAAGCACGGGAAGCATGGAAAATTCAAGCACGGGAAGCATGGGAAGCACGGAGGAGGGAAATTCAAGAAGTGGAAGTGAGTTAACCGTGGGAGGAAAGCATGGACTTTTGGGAGTCGTGAGGTCCAACCGATTTACTATCAACCGATGTTATAATAATCGACTTCAACTGGTTTTATGAATAATTACAGACCCTTTTGCTTTCGGCATACAAGAACATATAGGATTTGTCATACTTCTTACTCAATCGATGAGACTCCATTATGTGATATGTATTATGGAACCTTTACTCATCTAGTGTTTAAGCTTTTAAATCAAAAAGTTTTAATTAGTAAATGTAAGTGTACTTTTTTTAGGTTGCTTAAGTAATGGTTTTTTATGACAATAGTATTACATTCATTTAAGAATTAATTAAAATAATAATTTAAGTATACTATTTTTTTTTTGGATAAATCGAAATTCTATTATCCAAGAAAGCTAAGTAGTTACAAAAAATCAACGATCACAGAAAATAGAAAAATTACAGACCAAATAAAAATCGATCGGTTTTAGTCAATATCCCAAGCAATACAAAGATTTGAGTTTACATCATCAAACCTATTAATATTTTTACCCCTTAGTTTTATACCTACAAAGTCTTTGATTGTGCGGAGTAATTCTTCAATGCTTCGAGAACATCCTTTGAAGATTCTTCGGTTGCGTTCCTCCCACTAAATATAGATTGTGGCGTTCCATGCTAATTTGAAGATAGTGATTAACAAGGATTTACCTTTCCAATATATACTTGCCCATGTAATCAAGTCCTCCCAAGATAATATTGTCTTGTAAATTCCATTGAGGTGAAAGATCTGGTCTCGTAATTGAGAAGCAGTCTGGCATTCGAAGAACAGATGATTTCTGTTTTCCAATGACTCGTTGCATAAAACACTGCTTTCATTAGAAACAATACCTATGCGGTGAAGTCAATCTCGAATAGGCAGCCTATCGATCATTGCCATCCAGGCAATGAGGCTGTGTTTAGGAATGTTATGTGGGAACCAAATAATAGATTGCCAAGGAACTTTATCCCCCTTCGTTCTAATCTCTTGCCAGATTTGTCTTATCGATAGAGCTTCATTTGGAAGGATTACTTAAGCATCGACTCACAGTTTAAGTAATTTATTGAAACTCCAGCTTAATGTTGAACCTGTTTCCATTTGCTAAAAGTCCTTGCCCTTTAGTATACTATTTTTTATGTTGCCTTAAGTAATGATTTTTTTTACAATTGTATTACATTCATTTAAAATCTAATTATGATAATAATTTAAATATGCTTTTTAGATTGCTTAAGTAATTGTTTTCGTCAGTATATTACCGCTCATTTTTTTTAAAGAAAAAGAGACGGATTAAAATATAATGAATAATTAGATAATTATTTTTAACTTAAAAGATTTAATAAAACAACTCTTATATTTTGAGGATCATTTTATAACCCGGATCAATATTATAACCTTTAATAATTGAAAGACTTAATAAAACATCATATAATCAAAAAATTATTTATATATTTTATCTTAAAAAATCATGAACAAATATTATTTTATAATTAATCTATACTATTAAAAAACAATCTTATCTTATTATTCCCGTCATCCCCTGCAATCATCACGTAAAGAAGACAAATTGGACGCGCAATGTAAGTTTGACATTAAATCATTATTTGAATGCTCAAAAAGAATTGTACTAACTACTAACTACACCAATTTAGACTAATTTTTTAAATATTATTAAATATAGAAAAATCGGACTGATTCAATCTGTGCGCCTCAAACATTTAGGCCCGTAATCTGTTAGTTTAAAAGTGGGGTGATATGATCATGAAAAATAACTTCGGGGTAAGAGCAAACACTACACGGATAATTGAAGTATCTTTCACTCTAACAGCATTCCCTGCTCTTCTAAACGTGAAAAACCCAATGGATATGCAATGAGGTCCGAAAAAGAGTAGCAGTATTCTTCTAACTCATCAAACATCAACCAAAATCAGTAGTAAAACACATTGTAGGATAATCATAGGATAAAATTTTCCAAAATAAACAGCACGCTGCCGCCACCACCAACACCTTTTTTTTCTTATCAACATCATATCAGATCCCCGCCACGGACAAGTCTTCTTTTCATCTCATCATAATTAGCAACTGCAATGGACAAAGTTCAGCACCCACCACATAAACATACTTGCAATCCATAAACATATAACAGAAAGCATTGATTCCAGACCTGTCATTAAATGTCTCAATCATCTAGATAATAATAGGACCCAGCAGACTTCTGCTCTCGATCCTTGGTTGAGTCCAATTTGTTGATCCTAGGTCGGTAATTGGTCGGGTCCCGCCTGAACGTGATGTCCAGATGCTGTAGAGTGCCGCAATGTCAAACAGTGAGCACCACCAGAAATTTCAAACGAATAGCAGTACAGCACAATCAATCATCAAGGGAATTATGCGAAACTCACCGATAAGAAGAGATTCATGCCAGTCAACAAGGACTGAGGAGAATTTGCAATACAATCCACCGATGGCTTCCCTTCATACACAATAACTCGGTCTGCAAGATATGACGCCATTATAAAATCGTGTTCAACCACAAATGCGGTTTTCTTTGCATGGAGGATAAACCTCTTTATAACTTTAGAAGCAACAATACGCTGCTCAGAGTCGAGATAAGCACTCGGTTCATCTATCAGATAAATATCTGCTGGCTGCATGACATAAAACAAACATGTGCATCAGGCAGACTAGAAAAGACAATACCTTGGAATTTGAAAAGCTAAAATACATGACCCAAAACCAATTGACATACCAACATTCCACGAAACAATCAAAGGGAAAACTGAAAAAATTAGAATCATAACAATGCAACTCTTAATTAGGATCATCTAAAACCAAATAGAACTTGATCTATCTCATCACTTGACTTTGTATATCCACAACCTTGATCCAGAGAAACTATGATTCAATAGCTCTCAATTCCTAGGATTCACCATTAACCACAGCGTATTTCTTATATGTTAAAAGAATTTATCAAATTTCAGATGGAGCCAATAATGTGTTTCGAGTACTAAGCACACTACATGTTCTGCGACTTAAGAAGATCTACAACTTGCAAATTAAGTTATTAACAATAATAAAAGAGTTGAAAAATCAGTATAGGCCCTTCAGCATACCCAAGTAGATACCCCTAAAGGCTAAAAGGACTCTAATGGAATACAAGTACATACACAAGAAGATACTAGTGTTGGCAAATGCACAAGTAAGCCCACAACTATACATATGGACATGAAAGGTAATGCTTAGTGTTAAAAGGAGTTATCCCAAAACATAGGTTAGGATGAGGTAAGAACAGTAACCAGCGCCTCCAATAATTTAGATTCAAAACCAATCATGTTTCAAACTTGTAAGGAGGTACAGAAAAACTTTGAAAATTTAACTCCAATCTCTACCTTACTTTTTTAGCTAATTCAAAAGCATTTACCTTTCCAAGGCATAGACATAATGCAACTCTTTGCAACTCCCCTCCAGAGAGATTCACTACTTCCTGATCCATCAATTGCTCAATGAGAAGTGGCTTCATCACATCTGAAACAAATTGAGGATGCATGTATGAATCACGTATCTTTTGATGCAGCAAATGCCTGACGGTATTTTGAAATTTGGGACTGATCTTTTGAGGTTTGTATGAAACATTAAACTCAGGGATCTCCACATCTGAACCTTCTACACTATCAGGTTTCAACAAACCAGCCTGCAGGTTCATCCAATAATATTAATGAACTTATTCAAGAGACGAGATTAACAATGAACTAAAACGGGTAATAATGAATGCACAAATGATGGAAAAGCAAAATACCAGCATACGAATAAATGTGGTCTTCCCAGTACCGTTCTCTCCCAACATTACAATAATCTGAGAATCAGTAAATTCACCCTCCATAACTTTAAGTCTAAAATTACCCTGTGTTTTAGTCATGGTTGGGTATTTGTATCGTGCATAGGTTTCAATTTCTTCAGCACTTTCCTGTGGGGTCTCTGCAACCTATAACAAAGGGGAAAAAGAGAGGTTAAGACAAGAATTTAAAGATGAATGACACATGCACGAATACAAGAGAAACAGGTGTACCTTGAAGGTCAAAGATTCATCTCGAAACCTTAGGTTTTCAGTAGGGACAAATCCAGCCAAAAAGATATTTATTCCCTCTCTTACAGAGAAGGGAAGGGTTACAACTCCATATGCCCCCGGTTTCCCGTACAAGCAGCAAATGAAATCCGATAAATAATCCAGGACACTCAGATCATGCTCGACCACAATCACAAAGCTGGAATAAAAATGTAGAAGTATTGTTCCCCAATTAGAACCATTCAATCTATAAGAAGCATTAGAGACTAAGGACAGGAGATTTTACCTATTAGGCCTGAGTAAAGATCGGATGACTTGTGCTGCTTTCAATCTCTGTTTCACATCCAGATAACTCGAAGGCTCGTCAAACATATATATTTCAGCATTCTGTATGGCAACAACAGCAATAGCAAATCTCTGGAGCTCTCCACCAGATAAATCTCCAACATTACGGTCTATGACCTGGTTCAGTTCAAGATCGGCACAGAGTTCAGCCTTCATATCTCTCTCATCTTTTTGATCAAGTACCTGTCCTACATTGCCTTGAACTGCCTTTGGAATATGATCAACATACTGTGGCTTGATGATGGCCTGTTTAACATAAAAATTATCGGAAAATATCAAGGAAAAACAGGGAATTGCAGGGCACTCATCAAAGTTGCTATAATCAGGGCAGCAACAGTATTAAAAATATAAAAGTTGACAAGAGAATAAACAATTATTATCGATCTTTGAATTTTCTTCTGTAAGCGTCATATATGTAGCCTTACATAATAAATAAAATTCTAGGTGATGTGACTCAATTATACAATCTTAACTGCAAAACTAAACTAGTTTAACTTTGCAGAAGCTTTTCCCAAGGATGCTCAAGAGGCTAAGATTGAGACATATAAAGCAATTCAATACCAATGCTGGAAATACAATAGAAGTAGAAGAAACAAAAAGGTTATGGTTAAACTATCGGTGAATATTTGAATCTAGTACATCACACAATATCATTTTAGTGAAGAAATATTAATATCAAGGAAGATGGTCATAGAACTTGATGTTGATGCAATCATTCTCATTAAATCTCACAACCTAAGAGTCAGGAAGACCTTCAAACAAACTAGCAAGACCAATTAAGAATGTCTTGACA